GGGGGTGGAGGTTTTCTAGACGAGGTGCAATTACCACAGGGGTCTAGGGCATTTCCCCCCAGAACATTTTTGAAATTTCCCCCAGAACATATTTCAATATAATAAGTAGTATTCACAACTCAAACATGGAATACCAGAGTTTTCTTCAAGGGGGTGCTGGACACCACTGGGGGGGGGGCACACCCCCTGCACCAACCCGCAGCTTTCTGGTATTGTCACTGCCAGTGCTGGCACAGACAGTTCCAGTGTATTTAGACTATTTAATATGAATGTGTATATAATAAAGGACTAGTTGTATTTAGTTACATTTTGTATTTAATTACCGTAATAGTTATATATTTAGTGCAGTTGATATTTTAAATAAAAAGGAAATAGTAGATATAGTGATTAGTGAACTATATTTTATGAAGTTGTTCTTTCCAACAAGAAGCAGGATCAGCCCAGAACAACTGGGAGAGTTTCAAAGGGCCGTATTGGGAGAGTTTCAAAGGGCCGTATTGGGAGAGTTTCAAAGGGCCGTATTGGGCGAGTTTCATAAGGCCGTATTGGGAGAGTTTCAAGGGCAGTGGGGGTCAGTGCCCCACTGCCCCCTCCCCGATCCTCACTTTTTTTTCAAACAAATTTTAGTGCCATTTTTGGATTATAAAATCTGCTCTATTTTAGATGAAAAATCCGAAACTTAGAATGCAGGAAATGGCATTTCCAAGGTTCAAAATACAAAATTTCCCTGGGGGACCGGAAGCATATCACCGAACCCCCTAGTTATGCAAGAGGTCGAGGAGCCATGATAAGACTTCAGGCTGGATCCCCCTGGAAGTGCCGTTCTTTGTGCCCCCCACTTTTGAAATGCTTCAGTGCCCTATATGGAAAGTTTTAACTGTGGTTTTATTGATGGACCCAGGACCCGCAATATTTTAGTAACAGACCTTGCTGTTGTGTACGACAACTTCAGAAATTTATTTGTTGACTGTCTGATATATTGTCGCTTGCCTTAATTCAATTCCTTGGGCAATCCTGGCCACTGATCCTCAGGCCCTGTTGGTGGTTCTGTAGTTCATTGCTGCATAACCCCCCCCCCCCCCCCCC